TTTATCGTGAATTAAAAAATTTGGATTTTTTATTAAATTATATATAAAATTATATATATTTATTGCATATTTATATTGTATATAAAATCTATAGATTAATATTTAATAGTAATTTCTAAAATAAATAATCAATTAATAATAATGATTTGTAAAATAAAAATAATTTTAATATTATAATAATAATTTCTTTATTTAATGATAAAATCTCATACATATAAGATGAATAATTTATATTAATTTAAAAATATTCATGTTTTCAAGAGAGGAAACTAAAACTATTTTTAGGTAAAATTCTTATCTTTTTTGAAGTCATAAAAAATCATATACATATAAAAAACTAATGTAAATGTGCCTTATGAGATGAATATGTAGCGGACGAAGGAAAACTTTGGTTTGTTGATTTAAAACTATCATAAAAAGTAGTATCATGGCGTCTAAGATCCGTGTGGACAATACCGTTAACGAACGTCGTTTACGTCCGATATATAGCAAGTACACTATTGACATTTATATCAATGAGAAAATGAATATATTTTTTAAATTATAAGACAATGTGCTTTTAGTATTTGACCGGTAATGAGGTTATGTAACGTTAGTATAATTTCAGATTGGTTGGATAATGGAAATAATAAAAAAGCTCTTCAAGAAGCAGATAAAGTACTTAAGAAACAACCAAGCAATCAATGTGCTAGGGCGCTCAAAGCTTTGGCTTTATTACGACTTGGTAAAGAAAATGAATGTCAAATTATTATGGATAAAGTACGTTCAGAGATTCCTTGTGAGGATTGCACTTTGCAGGTCATGAGTATTTGTTATAGAGAAAGACATCAACGTAAGTTTAAATTACATTTATAATTGTATACATAATTGTAATTGTTATATACATTAAAATATTACAAATAATAAATGTGTAAATAATTAAAATTTATTTATAGCTGATAAAATTAGTGAAGTATATGAAGCTGCAGTTAAAGTAGATCCTAGCAATGAAGAATTATTAACACATCTTTTCATGTCTTATGTTCGTCTTGGTGATTATAAAAAACAGCAACAAACAGCACTTGCCTTATATAAATTAAAACCAAAAAATCCTTATTATTTTTGGGCTGTGATGAGTATAGTTATGCAAGCTATTCATGTAGATGAAAAGTTAGCAAAAGGAGTTACTTTACCTTTAGCAGAAAGAATGGTTTGTAATTTATTAAAAATTATTCTAATAATGTAATATAAATTATTTTATTGATATTTTTTATGTGAATGAAATCTAGGTATTGAAATTAATTAAAGAGGGAAAAATGGAAGCAGAACAAGAAGTGCAACTTTATTTAATGATATTAGAACTTCAAGGTAAAAATGAAGAAATGTTAAATGTTTTGTCAGGACCCTTAGCTTCACATCTTTCATCTGTTTCACAACATAAAGCAGCACTTTTATTAAAATTGGAACGTTTTTCTGAAGCGGCTAATGCATATAAGGAACTCATCAGTGAAAAGTAAGTTTAATATAGTATATGTATATTTTAAATAATAATAATGTTTTACATTATTTGTATATCATAAATATAGTGTTGACAATTGGACGTATTATCAAGATTATCTTCTTGCTGCTCTTAAATGTCAAAAACCAGAAGAATGTTTAAATTTTTTTAATAAAATTATAACAACATCTGAGAAAAAATTTAGAGGTCCTTATCTTGCAAAATTTGAATTATTAAAACTTACTCAAAATATTGATGTTATTGAAAATGTTACTGAACCAATTGATTTAATGTATCAATATTTTTCACAATTTGGAGAAAAAATTTGTGTAGTTGGAGATTTACGTTTATATTTACATTTATTAACATCTACAGGAAAGCAACAATTAATTCAAAAAGTAAGTGATAAAAAAGCAAAACAAATATGATGATATGCGTGACATTTTACTATAAAAATAATAATTATTTTAATTGAAATATCATATATTTTTAGATAGAAGACGATGTTGGTGTTAAATCTGAAGGATTCCCAACTACTGTGCAACAAATGCAAAAACATATTCATTTAGAACAATTACGTCGTATTTGTGGTTTTCATTGTCCTCCATATGTTGATATAAATAAACAAAAACAATTAGTAGAACGATTATGTAAATTATATAAAAAGGGTAATGAATTATGCCCAATCCAAGATAGATTACCAACAGACTTTTGTCCAGCGGATTCTTATATTCTTTTAGCAACGCATTTATTACATGAATTATGGTATAATACAAATGATGCAGTTTATCTTTATAGGTAATTTTATTATATTATTATTTATATTATTAAAAAAGATATATTTAAAAAAAAATTTAATAGTAATAATATTGAAGTAATATATTTAATAATATATTTTTATAGAGCAATGGAATTATTAGAATGTGGTTTATTATCGAGTCCTGCTAATTTTTATATAAAAATTCTATTAGTACGAATATATTTAGAAGCAGGATTAATTGGTGCTGCAGATCATGTTTTTACTTTATTGGATGTTAAACACATTCAATTAGATTCATTGGGTTATTTACATGCACCATTACTTGCTCCACTTGGCCATCTTTCATTAGCTTCCATAACGTTAGATCATACAACCAAGTTTTTTATTGCAAATTACAAAGATGTATGTATTTGCATATTACATTTGCTTTATTAGTAAAATATTTTATCTAATTAATTATTATAATGTGATTAGAGTGCAGATCATTTAACATTTGCTTATAAATATGGAAGTTTTGTAAAGATTCAAGAATTTGTGGAATTAAAAGAACGTTTGGAAAATTCTTTTCACTTTGTTATGACTACTGTAGATAAAATGCTTCTTGAATTAAGTTGGTGTAATAGTTCCACATCTTTAATTTCTACTTTAGATAATATGGATATACAATTAACTGAAGATTCTGTTCGATTGAATTCTTTACGAGATAATCGTGATTTAGAGGTAATTCTATTTTTATAATTTATTTAAGAAAAAAATGACATTAAAATTTCAAAAAAAATTTAATTCTTGATAACAGGTTGTTCCTGGATGGGAACCACTTACAGAAAATGGAGAAGATTCTAGAATGCAAGAAGAAACACGCATATGCATGCTGAGATTACTTGCAGTGAGGGATTTGATTTTAAAAATTTTAGCAGCATGCGTAGCACCTGATAGTTCCTCTCTTCTTATTCGATTTTCTAATGAATTAAAACAATTGAATAATGAGCAAATTCCTTCTATTCTTCAAAAATTTGAATTAGAGGGAAAAAAGATTAGATCATGTAAAATGTTAGTTCCTATGGATGCAGTTGAAAGGTTAAGCGAAGCTTATTACTCCGAACAATTGAAGACAATTGCCCGACTTGCAGAATCACTTGCACAGTCACGTTATCCTGATCTTGAATGTATTCAAATGCTGCAAACTTCACCATGTCTTCAGACGATAGATATTCCTGAAAAAAGAATTCCAGTGTCTTTCAAGCATTTTTTATTAAGAGCATCCACATGTAGTGAATCTCTTGCAATTATTAGTGCCATATGTACTCTGTGTGCAACACAATTACAACCTAAGACTTCGCAAAAAAAGAACAAGAAAAAATGTAACAAACAAATAACATCTCTTCCATTAAATGATAAGGATCATGTAAGTCAATTATAAATATAAATATATCAATTGTATTATAATTTGAGCAATATTTTATTATAGTTTATTATGTTATGTTTCAGAATTGGAAAGAAGTAGCGATATTACTTGAAGAACGAATTCAAAATTTAGATTCAGTATTGTCAGAATTTGAAAAATATCAATTACACACAGGATTAAATAATGACGAAGATGTGTATGCTACAATAATTAAATATGGACAGGATAGTTTGGGACAAAGTTGTAGATCATTAAAATCTCGAGCTCAAATCACTTTAAAACTTCTAACTAATTTAAAAAGCTGAAATTGTACGAAAATTCTTGTACAAAGAATATCCATCCAACTATTCACTGATTTTTAAAAACGAACCATTTATTGTGTACATAGTTCTTAGTCCTAATCAATTATAAATACCGACTGAATTCTTTATTGCAAGTCAGTTTTTAAATGGCCTTAATTTTGTGTATTAAATTCATAAATGTTTAATAATTTAATAATTTTTTTTTTTTGTGCACAATTTTCACTTGATATGTTCATGTTGAAATAGAATACACTGCCGTCTTATATGAATTATTTTCAAAAATAATGAATAAACAGTATATTTGATAAAATTGGATTGAATTAATAAAATTTGGTCCAAATTTTGTTATGTTTGATGCATAACAAGATATTGAAAAAGATTTTCTAATTGATTATTATTAATTTTATTTATATAATCATTTAAAAATTGCTGTATAATTTTTTATTGTTTTAAAAATGACGAAATTTAAAAATTTTAATTTGTATTGTTATATTTACATGTGCATTAAATATGTATTTTCATAAAGATGTGTATAAATAGATTATAGATAAGTGTTATAAAATTTAAATTAATTTAATGAAAGCCATTTTACGTCTTTTTTTCTTTAATATCAAACAAATTTATATTTTATTTTGATTCTTACATTGTATATGAATAAATTTATTACTTGTTAATCATGTAATTTTAGTAATTAGTTGATTAAATTGTATGAAATTAATAAATTGGATAAATTTATACGAAAAGGAAATTTGTTGTATCAATTATTACATTTATTAATGTAATAAATTGTTAAGTGCACAAGAATAAAAATTTAAAAATTGTTAAATTATTGACCATTATATTTACAAAATTATTTTTTACTATGAAAATTTCAAATGCATGATGCACGTTATAAAAAAATTATATATAATAATAAAATGATTGATCGAAAAAAAAAAAAAAGAATGAAACAAATCAAAGCCGTGTCTTAGGCACGTAAATTTTACAGACCAAATATAGATAAGGAGAACAAATAAGAAGAAAAAGATAGAAATAGGATAAAAATATTAAAATCAGCTCTATTTCTAGAGTGCCGCAAATAAAACTCATTAAGAAAGAATAGAAAATAGTAAGAGAAAAAGATAGAGTAAGAATTGATAATTAATGCCATCTCTTGAATAGCTAAAGACATTTTCAAAGCAAATAAAGAAGAACAAGAATTGAGCATTAGCGCTATCTTTTGAATGCTTTAGGAATAAAATAAAGCAATCAAGAGATGGCGTTGATATTCAATTCTATATTCAATATTTTATCTCTATCCTTTTCCAATTTTTTTATCCTTTCTTTTTGAGTTTCACTGGCATTCCGAAGATGGCGTTAATTTCAATATTTTGATGCTATCTTTATCCTTTTTTTATTATTTTGTCTCTTTATCTATATTTTTGTTTATATTCTTGATACAGACAAGATAAGAGATTTCAATTGAACGCATTTTCAAAATATTTTTTAATCTTTAATATAAAAATTATATTCTTGATTTTAAAATATATCTCTAAATGAATATCTTCTATATTATATAATATATATATTATATATTATAGTATATTTTGATATATATGTAAAATACATATATTTTATAATATATATTTTATAATTATATAATATTATATTATAATTGAATAAAATTTGATACCATGAAAAATAAATAATAAATAATATAAAATATATTTTTTGATTTTTAAAAATATTTTATTAAAATAATTATAAAATAAAAATTTATTTCTAATTCGCTTAACAAAAATAGCTTATTATAATTAAAAAAACATATATAAGTAACAGCATGAAATTAATTATCTATTTTATAATTTATATAAATATAATCATATATAAAATGCAGTATTTCATATAGAGATATACTATAAAATATTTTGTTATAAAAAATATTTATTTCATTATATTATTATAGTTTTATATCGAAATTTATAGTTTCAATTTCAACCATTACTAACGTTGCAATCTCAAAAACACATGACGATGACAGGAAATGATCCATTTGAAAAAATGTCAACGAAAAAATATAATTAACCCGAATTATGGTTATTCGATACAAAATCCTAAGTGACACTTTTGAAATCAACTGGATTCAACCGGAACAAAGTTCTATGAAATTTTAGCGCGAAATTTGAACTTGTGCAATGTGTTTTCTTCAAACAATTATATAATTCGGAATTTTTTAGGCTATACAGTTGATATATTACAATTTACAATATTTTATTTTGTAAATTACAATATTTTATATCATTATTTGATATCATTTTTAAATATGAATTCCTTTGCGGAAAGTCCATTATTTTTTTTTATGGATAATATGTCACCCATCATTCCTGTTAAAGTTACCAAAGATACACGAAAAATTATTGAATTGTCGGATACAGGTTGTGATGCCAGATTACCGGCGACCAAAATTTTACAAAATACCGATCGATCTTATCCTCCAAAATCTAAGATAAAATTAAACGAAGATTGGCAATCATATTGCGACGAAAAAATTGAGAACAAATATTATGAAGAAAGAATGCAAAATGAACATAATACAATGGATGCTAACGCAGGCTATTATTCTTTTCCTAAGAAAGATGAAATCGATCAGGTAATTATTAAGAGTTCGATTTTGAATCAGATATTATATCGAAATTACTAGGAAAATTGTAATTAAAGAAAATTGTTGTTTTTATAAAAATTCTAACTTATTTAAAGATTTAATTTAATTTTTAATATTTAAAATTTCTTTCCTGTATACTGCTTTAATAATTTTTTAGTTATTTGATTAATTTTATAGAATATTTATTACATTTTAGATATTTTGTAAATAGAATCTATTCTACTTATTTGGATATTACAAATTTCTAAAAAAATTATTCTTTTTTCAATAAAAATTTAAGAACAGAAATATCATTTTTATGAGTTTAATAAAAATCTTTTAAAATTATTTTTTCTTTAATTATTTCTACAGAATTATTCTTTCTTTAATTATTTCTACAGAATTGGGAAAGCTTCTCTCCACTTGAAGATTTTATGGAAAATGTAAATTTCAGAAAAAAATTAGAGACTAAAGAAATCAGATCTAAATTAAAAACACCAGAAAGAACAAAACCAAATTCTTGGAAGCACAAAGATAATGAAATTTTATCAACCACCATTCCCAATAATCACAGCCAAACTCGACAAAACGTTCAAAATAATATAAACGATATAAAGAAAGATACTACTTCTCATACTATAGGGTCAAAAACGACTGGATATAAATTCAAATTTCCTCGTTCTAATTATCCCAAAGTAGATCCCCGACTTACCGATCCAACAGTTACCAATAGAGAAAAACTAATTTCTATGGAACAAGAATATTACGAAGAGTTTCCATCTAAGGATATTCCGGAGAAATCATCGAAAAATTATAAATTTAATTGGCAAAGAAATGCTAACATATCCGATTACACGGAGAATCTTATGGATGAAATATCGCATAAAAATTCTAGATTTTCTAGATATAATTCGAAAAACGAAAAATTCACTAATTCCAGGAAATCTAACGACACATCGAAAAATTGGAACGAGACAAATGCTAACAGAATTCGATCCAGAACTTGTTCACCTCCCATCAGTCGACGAAAAAGAAGTAGATCTTTTCCTAAAACGTTTTACGAGGAATTGAATCAACATGAAGATCAACGAAATACAGAAGATCCGGAATATATGAATAACGATGAGCCTCGATTTTCACAAAATTCAAATTCAAACGAATCCGTAAATGAACCAAAGTTTGTGGATCGTGGAGTGGATAAGGACAGTTTATCCGACTTGCAAAATGTTTATACATCCACTGAACGATTATTCAGTTCGAGGACAACGATTGTGGATCCTTTGTCGGATACCGGTAATACAAGAGTTAGCTTCTGGGAGTTCATTCCATTGGACGATATCGATGATCAAAAATGCGAAAAGATTACTGAACAAGAAAGTAAGAGAACTGGTTTTTTGCACCAACAAGTTCGTTTAAGTAATGAGAATTATTCTTCCACTAAACGTTCGCCCAATAATTTTATTAGAGTTGAGAGAAGAACAGAAGTTCAAAAAGATATCAGAAAAATACCCGAAGAAAATTTTCCGAATTTCAAATTATACGAAAAAGAATTTCCGAAAAGGTTAAATACGGAAAAAACTACGTTACTCAATTCTTTTCAGAACGAACGATACAATGATAGATCAAATTCTACTGAGACAAAGTTTATGAATTCTAACCTCGAAAGACAGAGAATAATGTATTCGAATATTCCTATAAAAATGAAAATTGTCAATACATCGAAGACACAAGAACGATGTAATTACGAATCCAAAAGTCAAACCAAGATTGGCAGTAGATTTAATTTTGGATGGACAAATAAGACGAATCGATATTTAAAAAGACCAGTCAGTGCACCGAAGCCTGAGATCATCGAAGACAAAAAGAAGAGAATGATGCATATGCAAAACGATGCATATAAACAAAAGCTAAAAACAAATATTATGGAGAGAACGGCAGCGTGTTTGAAACGCAAACTGGATAAAACGAAAATCAAGGAAGATCTGGCAATTTTGAATCAGCAGATAATCCAGAAGAAGATAAAGTCTGAACAGTCTGCCTCCAAATTGCCTGTAAGAATAGGAAAACGCCTTAGATCGAAGAATCCTATCGCTAGAAATCGAATTAATGAGGCAATGTACGGTACTAAACAAGAAAATAAAGAGATAGAAATAAAGGAATTTAATGATACGTGTCAATTGAACAATATAAGATCTCGAACGAAACCGAAGTTGAGACCGAGCGTGATAATAGATGAAGGAATAAATGTTACCGAAACTTCGAAGAATCTTCCATTGATAGAGAAAATGCAGTCCATCGTGAATGATTGTAGAATTGGAGTTAAAGCTAATTTCAATGAGGATTTGAAAAATGTGAAATCAACAATGATTAAAGATCACGGTAATGATTAAAAATAGATTGGAATTAGAGTATCCGATTTTAGAATACGCGACACTAAGGTTAGAAATTGTTTGTCTTAAGTCGGAAAATATTCGGATCTCGTCGGGAATTATCGGTTCGAGTCGGATTAGATCGAGTTCTCGAAACACACGAATATCGAGATTTCTAAAATTTTAAAAACTCGAATCATATTTCGAGATCAATTTTATTGAATATTATGATAGATTCACAAATATGAATTGGAAGTGTTTACGAACGAATTAGTATTCATGATTCGAAATTTTAATTTCGAATTGAAATCTTGATATTTATATTTCGACTTCTTGCATATTATATCTATTATATATCTAGTAGGAAACTGTGTGTTCTCGAAACTCGAAATTCTTGTTTCTGAATGGATGAAATTATGTGTTTTTTAGAATATTGAATTTTGATTTTCAAAAATAATTTTGTAATTCGAAATTTTTTTAAATATAAAATTTCGAGATTTCGACTATTCTATATTTTAATAATGACGATTCAATTAATTTTGCAGATATAAAGAAAGATGCGAAATCTTTGAATGAAGAGGATAAGAATGTTGAGGTTAAAGATAGAATCGAGTCGAAAAAATTTGTAAATATCGAGGAGAATCGACGGAAGAGGAATAACATGAATGATAATCGAGAGATGAATCAAAAGAATTTTTCAATAAGAGAAGAAATCGAAGGTATTTCGAAAAATGGTTTGAAAGAGAAATGTTTTTTTCGTTTGAACGATAATATTACTTGTGATAATTATTACGATAAAGAATATAAGAACGTAAATCCACTTCGATCGCGAAACATATCAATCAGATCACAATTTTGATTTTGTTAATATTTTTTTTTTCAAAATAATTTCTTTATTTCAAGGTACGTATATTTCACGTTCAAAATTTAATGTAATGTAAAATTAAGACATTTTTTTTAAACATATGATTAATACTAGTATTAAACATCTGTATCATAAAGGTTCAAACGATAATGTTATCAACTGTATAGCCTTTAATAGTGAATTTTCTTCAATTGTATATGCTTATACTAAATATCAAATTATTCTCAAATTTATAATACTCTATTTCAATGTAATTTCTGTTTTTGTAAATTTTTGCAATAGTATTTTTAATAATTATCTACATTTATTTTGCTTGATCAATTTTCATGATACAAAAAAAAAATTTTTCAACTTATCTCAAGATATAATTGATTGATGATGCAAATACATTGACTCATCGAAAAAAAAGATAGAAACATATAAATTCGTACAGATGAACCATAATATTGGGACATGCATATGTGTCGACGAATCTGTGGGGGATACATCATGGGTTACCTCAAAAGAAGATCCCGAATGATACCAATTATGTCATCAACGCACCATACAACCCTCTGTCTCTGTTAGTCCGATGTCGTACTATGGGTTACGCCCGCATGTCAACCCCTGTCAGACTTGCCGCCCTCGTATTTTTGCTCTTGGTTCATGTAGAAATCCCCTAATCTTAGAATCAAGAGAAAGATATGTAATTATCTTTATTTACTTTTCCGCCTTTTTCATCGGATGAGAATATGATACAGTAAGAAAATATGCATGATCAAATGAATATTTATGGATGTTGATATATTCATGGAACACTTTTGGAAAATTGATTCTAAAAATCAGAACAAAAGCGAAAGTTGGTATGTAAAAATGTTAAATAAAACTTAATGTGAACACATTTAACAATGTCAATTTGAAATTAAATTTTATTTTCATTGCTGTGATAAAAAAAGACGTTAAATTATGAAAATTGTTTAAATATTAGGTATTTATACAGAAATTTTACTATATTTATTTATAAAAATATTTATTATCAAGTCTATTCAAAATTATTCCTTTATTCAATTACAAAAATCCAATATCATTCTAAATAAAACTGAAAAAACGTATCATTAAAAAAACAAATATAACAAATTTTATGTTCATCATTAAATATGCGGTTATTCCTTTTCAGGGATTCCAGATCCATCGTATGTAATTTTCCAATATATGCATCAGGATGGGCGCGGAGATCGCCTTTAACGTCAGACACGTCTAACCCCCTTTGCACGTGTCATCCCGTGGACCAAGGGCGTGAACTCACGTCCACACACGCCCACGCACCAAAGGGGAAGATAACTGTTGCGGGGTCACTCGACACGACACTCTCTCGTGCCATCTTCCTCTCCACCCTATCGAAACGGCGACAGTGTAACAACCCTTACCATCACAGTTTCTCGTCTCTCTCTTTCTCTCTTCTCTTTCTCTATATGCCAGGGGTTGCACAATCGCGGCCTGATTGATAATTTATACGGTGCGTGCAGGTTATTCGATTATCCGTCCCTCCAACTGGCCCACTCTCTTCTTCCGTTTTTCGTCTCATTTCCTACATGCCGTTTCTCTGTTCTCTTCTTTTCTTTTTTTTTTCTCTTGTTTTTCTTCGATGTTGCGTTATTCATGTTGATCATTTAGGTTAGGTTGTTGTTATTCCATGATTTTTGGATCCTTTGTAATTATTTATAATATATAGTTAGTAAGTTGGTAACAATGATTTTTTAGTTGAATGCAGGATATTTTAGTAATTTATTTTAAGATGACTTATATGATATACAAATTTATAAAATATTATGAAATTTTTGTATTACCAAACTTGATATGAAGAAATTATTGATCGCTTATAATTTGTTGATTCGTAAATGTTCTAATAATATTAATTCAATTTTGCAAGATACAAGTTTCGATTTTTTAGGCTTATCTTTATGTTATTTTTTGATCTTTGTTTTTAATTATACGAATTGCTAAATCAGCTTATGATTTGAAACCATAAATTAATACGATTTCATCTTATTATGTGACAAACACGTGTATCGTCTCTTATCCACCTTGCACGTTTCGAATGTCGCTTAGAATATTTCGGGGTAGGTTGTATCTCATCCATTGCACGTGCCTGGCTAGATGTAGAGCGACAATTTACGTATATGTATACTCATGTTTATAAGGAAGAATATAATAGCATTATTTCCTTAATTAACGTCTTTGTATACATTGTACGTGTTTTAAACATAAAAAGAAAAAATAATTTTGAATATTGAATTATTCTGAGATTAAAGAATCATACAACAAAAATAATCTAATATTTATATTTTACTTATTCTACAATATATCTATTTAATATTACATAGAATTAGATTTTTATCATTAATTTAATATTACAAAGTTAAATATATTTTCTAAAGTACAGAATATCATTAATTTTATTAATAAAATTGAATAATTTAATATTTTGTTAATCATTTTCCATAAAAAATAAAAAAAATTATTAAATGAAATTTGATCGTGTCGGAAAGGATCTTGAATACGTAGTATCGTAGACATTCCACTGAATACATATATACACGCGATATAGTGTATAGATCACGCACGAAAGGAGTGAGAAACTGTACATACGTAACCATATACGAACACAACCCAATTAGACTTCGAAAGGGTACACCCTAAGGCATTTCAGTGTATCGAAATTAATCCGCGCGTAATTCTTCGAAGCACGTATTGAGATGCTGTTAGTATATAGTAGAATTTTTTTTTAACGTATTCAGATAGATTTCGAAATACATGTCTAGATTTCTATATTTCTCTTTGTTATCGATAGAATCAATCGTAGTAATAGAAACGAAAGGATCATTTCCACGGTAGAATGCAATGAAAATAAATAAACGTTAAAATCCAGAGCGTACGTTCCTGTGCTTCACGAAGCGGAATGTACCTATTAAACGATGCAGCCACGCGCCAAAATAAAGGATCATGGGGGAGACTAAATAGTTTCCTATAGCCGCAGGCAGTGCACGATTTGTGCATTGAACTGTCATAGGGACATAGGGATATTGAACGTTCTCACGTTTTTCACATGGCCAGTTCGAAACGTCATTTTTGATATGCGTGCTGTTCAATGAACCTCAACAATTAATAAAAACATGTTAGATTTTTTTAATTTTTTATTATTTATAACTAAATAATTATAAAATAGGATTCGTTTTTAATACAATTTAATTACAATTTAATTATTCGATTTAACACGGGAGATTATGTAATTATAAAGTATAATATTAGTTTCTATAAAGAATTATTTAAAATATAACAGATTTGATATCATTTTCTAATTAAATTCAGTAACTTCAATTTTAAACAATATAATTTTCAATCGTTATTTTCTTAAAATTAATTTAACAAACATTGAATAAAATCTCTCGTTAAATAAATAATAACATATATGTACATTCTCTGTATCTTTCTCATATTCTATTTTCGAATTCCATTAAATCATATAACAATACGATATTCGATCGGTAATATCAAACATGGAGCAAATAAAAATCTTATATCGAGAGAAGAAACGAAATCGAGCCATCGACCGAAGAAACGAGATCCGTCGATACCAAAGAGAATACTTTATCGCAATCGATCGATGCCGCGAGTGGTTACACTGCAAGCGCGTAAATGGCCGCGAGCCTTTATTTAATAAGTTGTTATAAATTAAAAGGCTACTGCATATTAAACCACTCTCGGCATATTTATAATGATTCTTAAGAGACTATACCGAGCGTATGGATATGTAAATCAACCTTTGCTGCTGTTTCGATTCCGCTACATTTCGATCCTTGTTCGTCTCACTATAGCAGTAAAGGATTCTTCGCGATTTCTTCTCTCTACGCTCTTTTACTTCGTTGCGTTACCGCGCGTCCATCTTGACTACCGAATATTGTGTAAGTGAATATATATGGCGTTCGTGTATTTTCGTGTAAGTTCGTGTCCACGTCGCATCGGGTGAAACCAGAGGTCCGAACTCTACACACGTGCAGACATGCTTATGAATTTATTTTCGACGATGAAACGACAAACGGTTTTAATTGCCGCCCCGGGCTACGTAGAGATCGCCGCAAGTCTTGTAGGATCCTCCGTTTCTTCTTTGCCTCGTTATCTCATGGTGAAGCCGCACCGATAAGTGTTTCGACTTTATCCATCGTGTAGGTTATGCTTGAACGTGTTTTTAATGTGAACGAATATTTTATATAGAAGTGTTATTATTATATATTGGATTAACGGGAATAAAATTAACAAATGATTGAAAACACACTTTGTCAAACTATAGTATTGTCTCATTAATTATCGTTGAGTTATATCCAGCACTTTTTTGAAGTTCTTTCGAAGAAGCTAATATCTGCAATATGTTCGTTTTATGATAGATATTTTGGCTAATGAGTAAATATAATGATTTAAACAATTGGTTAAGCAAATTATATTTTCATTATTAATTTACATGTATAATAGAAGTATTTGAGTGTTTTTTTTTCATGTATTTTTTGTGGTATGTATATATATATATAGATTGAAATATCTTAAAGATTAATCTTACAATTATCTTATAATTTTAATCTTATTTTCATTTATTTATAATCGTGATAATTAAGAAAAATAAATTTTTTTTTGAGAATGAACAAAAAAAGACACTTTGTGAGAATGAATTATGAAAAAGTTTCCAAGTAAACACGATCGAAATCATGTACACACTATGATTATCATTACCGATCGTAAAATGTTAAAGAATAGATTGCAAAGTATGCCATTTGCTTCATCCAACTTGATTTCATGAAGTATAAACATATATGCGTCTATATATATTCGAGGTCGGTATTATTAGTGTGTATTTCACTTGAAACGTTTACGAGCAAAAACTTTTAGCGGTGCTATTATAAATACCGCTAATTTTTATTGCTATAAGAATTGTTTGCATAGGTGATTACAAAACCATGAAGTGATTTGTGTGAGACAATCAAGAAATTTTTTCGAAGATTAATTACTTAAAAGTGAAATTTTCACAGAATAACTTATTTTAGATCAGTGTTTTCCAATCTTCTTGATTTACGAATTTTTTTTTTAGAATATCCAAATATTTTATAATTTTCTTATATTTTTAATTAGATAAATTACAGGTAATATTTCATTTTTAAAGATGTATGAATAAAGATTTGATAGAAATTAAAAAAAGATATAAAAAGTTTTATTTTTAGGTTATGTTGCATTTTTATATTTATATAAGCATTTCTTTAACAGTGATTTGCTATTAATTTTTCTGTCATAATATATCATAATTTTGCATCAGGAATGAAATTATTTTTGAGTAATTGTATAATCAAATCTTTCAGGATAGAGATGTGAGATTCGTAAAAAAATGCAAAAGAAAAGTAACCATAGAGATTCTGATTCGAAGTCTCAAGGATACTTGAAGACGAAAATGGCAAAGAAATCGCAAACGGCAATCACGGACTAAGTACTAACCTAATCAACCAATCTTCGTTCTGTTCTTCTGTTTCACTACTCCTCGATTCTTTTACTCAAAGAAGGGAAATGATTCGTTATCCTCGAATTATTCTTTCTGTTACAATTCTTCTTATCAAATGAAGTTTAATAGTTTCAACTATAGGTAAGATCTTTTTCATATTTTAAATTTGCAAATATTTAAAATTTATATAAGTAATACTAAAAATAATATTAAAATTATTTAAAACAATTTATATTAAATCTACATTATACAATTTAAATGATTTCTAAACTAATTATCTTTTTTATCCGCATTGTTATTTTGATTTATATAATTCATGATTATGATAAATATATTTTTTCTTTAATTTTCCAATTTTCCAATTTTAATATTGCCAATTCAATATTGTTATCTAAATCGCGTAATTAACAACTAATTCATCTCATAATTTCTCTTGTTTTTTGCACTTTTATTAAAAAGATATACCGGAATCCTGTTTGGGGCTATCGTTAAACATCCGATCGTGGTTCATCCTATTTGCTTCTCATGCAATCATCCATCTTTCAAATCTCCTTTTGCAATCTTCTCTTTTCGCCAGTTTTCTTCTCTTCTTTACGTGGGCCTTCATACATTGGCCCGCAGACGTCTCTTTCTCTCTTTTCCTTTCTCCATTGGCCCCTTTCTCGTAGTCACGAATATCGTTCCTTCATAGTTCATATATCAAACGCTTAGGAAAGGCGGCGACACATAAATACCCCGTACACGGGTATATAAAAGCCACCACCTCGAGAGGATATATCCCACCAGGTAAAATATATTAACCCAGCCTGGGCCGCGTGGGTTTCACTATTTTCGGGGACACTGGCTCTCTTCCCGTTTCACCATCTCTGTTCGACCAACAGTTGAATTTGATTACATTTTCTTTTTCTAGATCGGTCCACTCTTTCCCGATTGGAATGACTTATGGGCATGCGGCGTGCTTTTGGTCTCCGCAAGTCTATCGCGGGATTATAGTGAGCCACGCAACTATAATAATCATTCTCGTGGCGATTTTATTTCTCTTCGATAATATTGGAATTTTGATTATGGAGTGTTGGTATTTTTAATTTTTTTATTATTTTTTATTTGTTAAATCGATATCTTATCCAATTTCCATTATTTAATTAGGTTTTTTGCCGACTTTTAAATAAAATATATCAAAATGGATCAAAAATGGATAAAATAACTCTAGCCCAATTGGACTACAATTTACAAAATTTGTTCATAGAAAAATACAAAACAAATTTATCATTGCTTTTCTTTATTCTCTGCGCTCAACATTTCAATTAATGTAAATCGTGATAGTAACGATACTCCACTGGGATCACTTCGTGGAAATTTCCGTGCATTCCGAAAATTGCTAGGTCCCCAAGTGAGCGAAAATTGGATCGTTTGTATCATTTGCGACTGTAACGCCGACAAATGCCATCCCAGGCTATTATAAACACGATAGAATGAGGTTTGGCAGAGAGTAGGCCAATGATCGGATTATCCTGGAAACTTCTTGGGCAGAGAAACACCCGTGAACTTAGTAGTGTGCCGAGAAGCGTGTACCATGCGCTCGTATATCGACATAAGGCATTGTTAGGATTCCCGGGGGACAAACCGAAATCAAACGCTGTTAGCGCAAACTATGCCCTCGATTCTCACTTAAGTTCATTTTAGTACCATACTTGCAACCTCGTGAGATATGTTGTTAGTGTACTAATGCTTTTTATTTGGATTTGTTTTTATTCTTTAATTTTAGTGTTATTTATTAGATAGTGGTTCTGATCTTATTTATTAGTAATTATTCCTATTTTGTTGACATTTATTTATTTTTAATGAAAGATATAGATAATGATAATATTTGTATACATTTACATGAAGAAAAATATTAAAAATATTTTTAGATGATGCAATTTTTGTTGAATATAATTATATGATTTAATATGAAGTTCTATTTCTATTGATACTTACTTAATTAACATTAACGTATATTTGAAAAAATTTAAAATTTTGTTTCAGATATAAGTAATCCAAGTTGCTTGAAGAGAATTAATGATTATAAATATATTAGATATTGGATTAATCATTATTATTATATCAACTTTTTAATTTATTTTGGAAATTAATCTTTAAAAATAGATTCTCCAAAAATTTCTTATGAATATATTAACATCCTATATATATGTGTATCTGGTGCACAAGAGGTTTGGTATATCGTATCCGAAAAAAAGCATTCGTGAAGCGGTGGCCCGACAATGGCGGCCAGTAATAAATTATAAATCGAAAAAAGGAACAACAGCAACAAGAAGCGGCAACCGCGGCGAGTTACGGTTTCGCGTTAAATATGAAATATTGCTATCCATGTCTCGAAAATGCGCATGTATACAAGGTAGAATGTGTATATATATACATATAAAAGTATTAAGTATTAAGTAGCTGTTTAACATATTTTAATTGCCAAACTAAAATTTGAAATACCATGATATGCTAGTTATAATAACTTTTCTAATATCTATTATAAATCTTTGTAAATCATTTGTCTATAAAAGTTTGAAGTAAAAGATTATTATTTATTTCTCATCTCTGTTTTATGTTTTTTGTTATTTGAAGGAAAAATAAAGCTAACAAAGTTTAATTAAATTGTAGTAATTTACAAGTATTTTTGCAGTAACTTTTTTTTTATTAAGTTTTTATCTTTATGTTAAATTGTTATCAAATATATTTTAATTGTATATATTTATAAATACAAATAAATTTCCAGAAATTTATATCTAATCTATATCTAGATAATGATTTCTATAAAAAAAGCATTTATTTCATATATTATATATATTTCAGTATTTACGATTCTATTCATCTATTTGGATTTTCAACGAGTTTTAGGATGACAGATCTTGGCCAAGGGCGGAGATCACCAGCCCATTAAAACCTTATTAATATTGTAATTCCCTTTTAATACGCGTAAATTTAGAATCGAGACAAGCCCACCTTGGAGTCTGTTTTATAGTCTTTTTTTTTTTTTTTTTTTTTTTTAAA